ACTTAATTACCATTATCGCTCCATAAACCTAAATCAAGCCACATTCCCTTAGTCTTTTTAATCCTATGGTGATCATATGATGTGATGATGGTGTTCTTTCCTTATGAGATCTAGCTCATTCTTTGTCATCATCAAGGTATCAATTTAATTTGTTTATCTATTTAGAATTCCATCTTTTAATCCATCAAAGTTTGCTAGAATCGCACGTTTACAGAAGTTTTAAAGTTCTTTGATCATTACTTTTACGGATAGCATCAAGTTTCCTTGATTTTCGGCTTGTTTTTTAAGTTTCTAGACTTTGTACCACATCAATTAGTATCAGAGCTTCTCATCATCCAGTTCTCAATGGATTACAGGTGCACCCTTGTGGGACATGTTCTACTCAATTTGCAGGGCCTCTCAAAGCACATGTGCACTAGCGCTTCCAAAGTCGGATACATCATTTGGAAGAGTGGCTTCCCATGTAATTGTAAATGCACATGGCATGGAACAGTCTCATGTCAGGATATGGGCTCATGTCCCATGAGCCATGACCATTCCATACAAGGCAATACTCTTTTAAATACTCGTATTTTATTATACTCAATCGGATTCTTCAAGCCCTAGCTAATCATATCAACTATTAGGTATTCTAATCAATACAGTCCTGACTCGGAGGTGACCCTCACACCTCCCCGAGAGATCACTCTCTCAAAACGCATACTCTCAATGCCTCAAATACTCGGAGTATTAGAATCTAGGCTCCAGTTTGCAAAGCACCCAAACTCTCAATCACTCCTACTAAATGAGAGATCATTCGTATTCAGGCCTTGAAAGGGCATAATTCCAACAAAAACCATGGCAAGACTTGCCCATACTTCTTAAATTCCGAAGGATTCATTTCACTACATTCCAAAATTTTCTTCCTAAGCTAAACACAATCCAATCAAGAAAACTACAAACAAGTGAAATAACAAATCTTATACAAATCATGGCAATAATCAAAATCAATATTAGAGCAGCATGCAACATTTTAATCACATCGGCCCTTCCTTCACTAAATTTTGAACATTGGCCCAAAGGAAATTCATGTGGTATTTTCGGCTTCACATCCCCTTGTACAAATCCCATAACTTTGACTTCTCCAACTTGCCGAAAATCTTCATCAAGACCTTGCTTTGTGTCATTAAGATATTCTATTGCCAAACAATGTAACCTCCTTTTGAGCTTCATCTTTCTCTAGAACCAAATTTACCCTTTCACTTACAAATGTGCTCTTACTAATTTATACAAGTTTCTTTCCCAGACTCCTTTCATCATAACTAAAGCCCCCTTTGAAACTTTAGGCACTCCACCTTGCCCGGTAAATTTGTAGCCTTCCATATCTAGAGAAGAAAGTGAAATCAAGTTCTTCTTTAAATCCGACACATGTTTGACATTTTCAAGTATTCGAACCATCCCATCATATATCCTTATGCAAATCATGCCCATTCCAATCGTCTTACTCATTGAAATATTTCTCATTGATGCTAAACTGCCCTCACATGGCTCATATGCATCAAACCACGGTTTATGTGGGCACATATGATGTATGGCTCCACTATCAAGTATCCAACTTTGATAGTACATTGGATTACATCCCACCATCAATACTTCATCTTTAATATAATCGCATGTTGATTCTCCAATGTGGTGAGCCTCATTCTTGGCCTCACCATGCCCTTTCATTCCCAAACCGAAACACTTAAGAGGAATTTTGTCTTTTTTCTTGCCAACAATTTTCCTTTATAGAGCTAAGCTTGCCACTTTATGCATAAAACGCCAAAGGTTAGGACCGTCTACAGCTCACCCCTCCCGGGACACTGTGTAGGCGGGACCAGCATCGGGTTACAGCCGTTACGGCCAAGCTTGCCACAAACCAACAACCTTTGTCATAAGACCCCCTTGACTTTGATCGGCTAATTGAGGAATCTCTTGATGAACCAACCCGTTCATCCAACTGGCCTCTTACCATAAGGACATCGATACTCGAACACATTGAATCATCCATCGATGCCTTCTTTTGAAGTTCATTGGCAAAAAGTACGCTACAAACTAAGCAAAAATAAAGAGAATCTTCTTTACTACAACTCAATGTAGTAACAAGGTTATCATAGGATTCTGGCAATGTACAAAGTAAGTGGTCGCCTTATCTTCATCTTCCATTCTCACACCAATACTTTCAAGTTGACAAATAATATTATTAAATTCATTCAAGTGTTCCGACACCCTCTTTCATTCTCAAGGAATACAATTTTCTTTTTAAGAAAATTCAGTTTGTGAGAGATTTTGTTTGATACAAACTTTCCAATTTTTCCCACAAATCTTTTGTTGTCTTTTCCCCAATAATTTAAACAACACTTTATTCGTCAAACACAAGCGAATATTGGCCCGTGCCTTCATACCAAGTTCCTCCCAATCATCATCGATCATATTTATTGGTTTCTTATCTTTTCGAAGTAGTGCCTTGTGTTGCCCTTGATGTACTAGTATATCTTACATTTTTAATTTTCAAATTTCAAAATCATCTGTCCCATTAAACTTCTCCACCTCAAACTTGTGAGATGCCATTTTTTCAAAAATACTACACCGCTCCCTTTGAGCTCTGATAACACTTCTTAAAAAATCGATAAAACCTAAATTCCTACTTGATATGGTGAGCACCCCACAACAATAGTTCCAGCACTCAAAATGAAATACCCCAAGAACAATAATATGTGTGCAACATATTTGGAAAAATATGGAAACAAGAAAAACAATTAAACAAGTAATATGGGAAATCACTAAACCACAACACAAACAAAAGCAAAAAACACATACGAATTTATGTGGTTCACCCAAAATGGGAGACGTCCATGAGCAAAGGGCAAGGGGCAAGGATATTTCACTATCAATGGAAAAAATTTAAAAGTTTGGAGTTTTGTAGAGATTAAATCATATAATAGTAAAGAAAGCTCAAATAGAAATTTCCTACCACAATACCACTATCAATCGAGTACCCTCTTCATCACCATCAACCAAGTCCGTCACCAAGAAGAAATGCCAATGAAAAACGGTTCAATACGAGGCCCCAATGGTGTTAGGGTTTGTTGCAAAAACCCCCAATTTCAAAACCCCAAGCTTCTCTACACTTTTGTTTTTTTAACAAGCTTCACAAATACCTCCCTCACTTCAACCCCACGTTTCTCTCTCTAAAAGGGTTATAAGGCCTTCATAAAAGGCATTCTTTCATTTGGACCAAAAGTACCCGTTGTGTTGAGGGAATGCCATAAGTCATTAAAAGGTGATTTTTACATCACCTTCTCAACAATCTCCACCTTGATGCAAAATCACATATGTACCTTGCCAACCATATTCGGTTATTCTTTTCTTGATGAACCTAGAGCTCTCGAGGTTCTAAAATAAATGAATAACCGAATATGGTTGGCAAGGTACATATATGATTTTGCATCAAGGTGGAGATTGTTGGGAAGGTGATGTAAAAAATCACCTTTTAATGACTTATGGCATTCCCTCAATGCCAATGGTACTTTTGGTCCAAATAAAATAATGCCTTTTGTGGAGACCTTATAACCTTTTTAGAGAGAGAAGCGTAGGGTTGAAGTGAGGGAGGTATTTGTGAAGCTTGTCAAAAAAAGAAAAGTGTAGAGAAGCTTGGGGTTTTGAAATTAGGGGTTTTTGCAACAAACCCTAGGACCATTGTGGCCTTGTATTGAGCCATTTTTTATAGGCATTTCTTTACGGCATCAAACTTGGTCGATGGTGACGAAGAACGGAGTCGATTGATGGTGGTATTGTGGTAGAAAATTTCTATTGAGCATTTCTTGCTATTGTATGAAGTAATCTTGACAAAACCCCAAACTTGTAAATTTCTTTTATTGATAGTGAATGTGTCATTGCCCCTTGCCCGTGGTCGTAGCCCATTTTGGGTGAACCTCGTAATTTCGAATGTCTTCCATTTTTGCTTGTGTTGTGGTTTGGTGATTTCCCATATGACTTGATTTTTTTGTTTATTCCCATAATATATTGCACATATATTATTGTTCTTGAGTATTTCATTTTGGGCGTTGGAATTATTGTTGTGGGGTGCTCACCACATCAAGTAGGGATTTGGGTTATCCCGATTCGTCAACAAAAACAAGTCTCACGATTCACCCACCTTAGAGTTGTAGGCTCCTTCTTTTTATGGTCCCCCACCATCTCCCTTTGCATCCTAATTATACTTCATCCATGATCCAGGAAGTTAGTCCCCATCAAGCAAACGTCCAGATATTATGTTTATATATATGACAATCTCTATTTCTTTTTCACTTATGTACATGCCACCTTCATAAACTTAATGGCAGTTTATATCAACAGCCCTTCACCAAGTGCTGTAAGTTTCATGGTAAAATTAGTGAAAATGCCCCTGTGCATGTTTAAGGCTTAAATATACATATGATAATATTGATCCATACATGACATTCTCTTCTAGTACTCAAGGAGTCCTTGATGCATAACATCTACTAGTGTGTTTCCATTCATGAGGTTTCCAGGACTTGGCAGGTATTAATTTTTAGTAATCCAGTAACTGGAGAATAAACTGTGAGATCTTGCTCATCTCCTACTGTGCTCAATATAACTCTACATAATATAAATTAGAAAAAAGCATAGGTAATTCCGCAATAAACCTGCTTATTTTACAAAATAAAGGAAAAGCACGGCAAACAATTTCTTCAAGAAGGTTCTACTGTAATCATGTTAGGGCCCCCTAGGAAAACATGAGGATGCAAGACATCGACTTATATCAGCAAAAAAAAAAAGAGCAACGGTTCCAGATGTATGCATTTGATAATATTCTCAAAATTTCCCAAAAGATAAAAGAGAAGGAAAGCATTCAAATCATTCCAAGATGAAACTACCCATTCAAAGAAAAATAAAAAGTGAAAAATTACTTGACTGAAAAAATAAACTGTTTGCAAAAAATGAATAGGCATCCTTACACTTCTCACATCTGCATCTTTAACATCCAGATCAGTTGTTACTAAAACGAATTTCACTTTTGTATTGGTTATATATCCATACCTGCACAATTCAGAAGATGGCAAGAGAGAAAAAAAAAAGAGTTTACTAAACATAACACATTGAAAAGCATGTAATAATGACATGGGAACTGACAGCAATTTTGACTCTAAATGCATTACAATACCGGTGTGCAAGAAAACTGCAAACAGCACACAAATCTTACACTTTGTAATTCTCAGTTGGATATAGAAGACCCAAGAATGTCTCATTCATTGTCGAGCCAGTTTTCTTCGGATTATTCACTGCACATTTAGGAGTCCAATTAATAAGAAAAATTTATTTCAATTAAGCATTTAAAATTGTAGATTGTCAGGGGTAGAACTACAAACCAAAAGTAAATAATAAAACTATGAAAGTTGATACTATCAACAGCAGTACAGAAGAAGAAACAAGGCAACTTAAGATTAGCATATCCAGACAACTTTACAAATAAGTTTCAGGTTCGAAGGTAGAATGGCAAAAAAGTAAACTACGAGCATTTCTGGAAAGCATAAAAACATTCTTAGGTAAGAACATAAACCTTAATCCTAACACATACAAAAGCATAAAATTTAAATAAATAAATAAAATAAAATAAAAACATTTCCTTAGAGGCATGTATAAGTTCCACAGCTTTCAAGTGTTTGGCCAACAAGAAGGCTGAACAATACAGGCCGCCCTTCTCAAATAGACAAACATGCAGTATAATTTTGCCACCTAGTCAAAAGGTGACCCAATGCAAAGCTCACAATCCTTGTCCAAACTTGTCCAACATTGACAAAGGCTAAGCGTTTCTCTATTCCTCCCAACTTAAATTTGTCTGGAAAATATGGTATCATTAAAGGGTTTATATTAACATGGGCATACAGCTAATAATTAGAAGATGAACCATCACAGCCTTTAAAACTCATTTAATTTAATCCATTCCAGGCAGGGAGTACGTGCCACAGCTATGCCGAAGCAAATATAACATACCTCGGATCACCTTAACTTGAAAACTCCAGGTCAGTACCGGCCAAACTAAAAAGAACTTAAGTTTTCTCAATTGGAACAGACTACACAAACCATTTAATAAGAAACTGCTTATGTGGAGTGCCCTAACAGAATTTCAAATAACTTAAGGTTCTTGCATGGAGCACAACTAGTTTTCAACTGCAGTGGTCAGAGAAGATTTTTGCTTTTTCTTTCCCTTTTTTTTTTTTTCCATTTCTCTGTAGGGGGGAATGGATTATCACATGGGATATCTCCAAGAGCCATTTTTGTAAGATAAAAGAACATATAGCTTGGATATCGATCAGTCAAACTAAAAATCTTCTTTTCAAAGTTTACCAATTCCAAGTTTAGGTGATTCTTCTTGTTTTATTGATACACTTTCCAGCTTGTCTTATTATGATTTACCTAGTAGCCTATATTATGACTAGAATACCATAGTGTAAATTGTGGACTGATTCTAAAAGGTAGGGTGTTACAGCTTAAGAATCAATTTCCACAAACTCACTATGTTTTTTCCAAATAAACAAAAGGGCAATAAGGCCAAAATAGGGTGTAAAGTAATGCTAAAAAACAAAAGAGCGCATAAAGTAGTACTGAAAAACAAACAGTATTTCATGCTTAAAAACATAAAACATATAAATAACTAGCATAGGAAGGAATTGTAAAACTAGTTTTGCTTCCTACAAGAGCATGCATGCACAAGTGGGCCCTTATAGACATGCACAAGAATATGCCTCTGAACGAAAGCACTCTATTGGACAGATCAAAGCCACAGTGTGTCAAAGAACAGACAGTGCTAACAAGACAGGACCCTATCCTTCAATAAAAGATCTTGAAGTAGTTAACCATAACACCACTTCAAACGTTGTACGGTAAAGGAGCAAGAAAAATTGGTAGGCTAACACACAGGCAGATGGCTCTGTTACGAGGGAATATACTTTATAACAGCCAAATTCACTAATTTCCAGAAAATGGTTAAGGATATAGGCCTATTTGAGCTCAGATGAAGTCCCCAAATTTTCGTAAGCAATGGTTTGCAGAAGAAAGTACAATTTGTGGAATAATTTCCTAAATCATAAGGGTGGTAGGGCCCCAATACCAATTACTACGTGCTTAATGGCTGGACAACTGGGAAACGATTTATTGTCTATGGTGGAATTCAAAGATGGATCACCGTATCAATTCGATAACAAGAGTCATCAAAAGAAAAAAAATGGATGTTATACACAGATTTGTCAAATTTTTTGTAAGTGTCAGCGAGCCCAAGTCTTAACTAAGTGTTACTAAACTTGCCCCCATCTTTACCTGATATTTGAACAAAATGGATCTCAATAAAATGTTTGGTTTGCTCAATTGAGTAAGTCAAGTGACTGAGGGATGAGTCGATACATCTCAGAGCCATGCTCAGTCCGAGATTTTAGAAAGTGTTGCTTTGACTACTTTTCTTCATTTGCCCTCTGTGACTTGCCTATCCATTTCTAGAAGCATGTATCTTTAAACATGTTAAGTTTGCCTATCAAACTATAGGTTATAGTTAAACAACATGATGCCCATTGAGACAGGCATGCATATACATGTGTACAAATATGAAATAATGAATATATGAAGTGACTACTCGGAGCAATCAATTAATGGAAGGACAGGAAAGGGAAGTTAGATAATTGTGTACAAATGCACCATCAGAATTCAGAAGTAAGGAACTCAAAAATCATGCTTTCAACAGGATAAAAGTGTCCTAATTTTCATCAGATGAGTTTGAATGCGATCCAACAGTGAGATTGACCTACACAATAGCAATGTAAAAGACAAATTTAGCATGTAGCTAATACTTCATCTACTCCTGCACTCATATCTTGCAAACTTGGTCATTCAAATGTTCCAAAACCAATTTATTTATGCCCTTTCATGCCTACAATGTCACCTGGCCCGAGAGCCATGAAACCCTAACGCATAATAATTAGCATTGTCTGATGAACTACAGAAAAGTAAGCATTAACTATATGCATGAAGTAGGTACAAAATATCAGGTGGGAGGTACCTCTCTCATCAATGACATCTAACGAACAATGCACAATATAATGGAGCTTGAGGGCATCATCTGCCTCTGTGAAGCTTTGAAGGTACAAGGGATTATTCTGCATCCCGATTAATATAGTAAATAAATATGAATACATACATACATATATATATATATATATATAGATAATGAAAGAGAGAGAGCTAGAAGGCTAGTTACTTGGAGGCCAACAACTGCAACACAGACGATCATCTTCTCCTCCCTTCCAAAAAATCTAAGACAACACCATGTTTCATATCAATGTCTTTAATTTCATCAGTCGAATTAGATGAGATCAATCACATAACCACACTTTCTTCTGGTAATGAACTCTTTCATCAGTATATATAAGAAGAGATCAATAAAAGAACCATACTTTCTTCTGTTATATCACCAAATGCAGGAAGTAGTTTCCACAATAGGAAGTAAAGAAAGCAGCACCATTCAACACATTTACCTGCAAAGGAAGTAGAACTACTCAAGAGATTGACCAGAAAAGAGTGCTTCTAGTAATATAGGGGTGCTAAAGAATTAGACATTCATAAAGTTACAGACAATTATAAGAAAAATGGTCCAATCATCCCTTAATTAATCATCCCTTAATTAATCATCCCTTAATTAAGTAGAAAATGATCGAGCACAAAGAAATGAAAGTAAGCTTTTCAATTGAGAGATACCATGAAAGATGTCCCAATAATAGGTACATCAAATGGAATGAAGGTGATCTAGAACCCTAGGTTGGAAAGGAATGTGGATTTCAACGATCATTTGAAGGACCCTTACTACGTTTGTGTTTCTTCTTCCTTTATCTTTTTAATTGGGTTCTTCCCAAAGCTCAATAGACTTTAGTCGCCATTTCAAATTCATGCAGAGAGGTTCTCTTTAAACAGTAGTTAGGGTAACAATAGTGATGGCAAATGATGTCTAGGTGGCAATTTAAGTATTATTAAGATTAACAGAATGCATGGAGTGACAGCTGACAGCAATACCCAGTTAAACAACAGCAACAAATGGCAAAAGAATCAACAATGACAAAGGGGGGAAAAATCAACCCAAATCATTTGGAAAATAATCATTGTAAGTTCATCCTTCATAGTCGTCTCACATGTGGTGCTAACTAACTTTCTACTGAATTGCTGAATATAAGTTTTAGATCCATGTTATAACAGCTTCTAACCAGGAAATATATGCCATTACCATTCTTTGTGACCTAATCGTGAACAAATGCCACTTCGAAACAATGAAACTAAAATGAAGATCCCGACAAAACCCATAACTCAAAGCCCCAAAATGGAAATCTCATTACAGAGGCCATTATCAGCAGACAATCTGGCATTTTCAGAAAATTGTTGATAAAATAACCAAGATATAGAGCAACCACACATAAAGCACATAAATTCTGAAAAATAAGAACTCTTGGATTAACTAAGTAGCAAGTCCATGTAAAAATGACATGCATGTTGCGTTCATTTAGAGGAATTCAACACACCAACACACTAGACACTGTGTCAAACACACATATAGACATGGGAAAATAGGTTCATTTAGAGGAATTCAACACACTAGACACCGTATCAAGACACATATAGACATGGGAAAATAGGGTCTAACTAACTCATTCTTTAACTTCGAACTTGACTAACTCATTCTTTAACTTCGAACTTGACAGGCCAAAAGAAAAAACATTAAAGATTATGATATGGTTCACATGATAGATCATGCATCATGATCCACACATACTTTCACCATAATATTTCACAAGTGTGTACCTCGAGACACATGAGGTGGAGCATGGGGTGCTTCTTAGGCTTTGGAGTTCCAACCAAAGTCAACATCCAAAAGAGTACTCTGAACTCATCAATGTGACTGAGATTGCCCACAAAGACTTTGAAATTTTGGGAAGAAATCTATAATTTGGAAAAACTCGGTCACTGACACAAAATTACTTTCTCAAGTAATCTGATCACCAACGAAAGTTGCACGCTTCGTAGAACAAAATTCCATTCACCATAACCAGGGTTTCTCCTTTTTCTAATAGATTTCTTCCTTTTGGTTCTTAAACATGACTATGCACGAGAGACAGCCCCTTGAGAAAGAGTAACCCAAAGAATTATGGGAATCCTTCTAAAGAATAAAGTGGAGGGTCTTAATCCTCGACGACTTTCTCATAAAATACAAAATCATAAAACAAATCCATGATTGTTGAACAAGTGATTAGTTAAAAACGATAACTATTTATGGGACCCCTCTCTATTCAGACAACTTCTGTTTCATATATATATCTTGTGGGCACATGATAATAAAACAATGGTTGATGCGAACAACCAAAATTCTCTAGATGAGGTAAGCCTCGAGCATCAAGTGGAAGAAATGCATACTTTCCAACCATCATTCGTGGTTACTTTCAGAAACTACAAAAAATAATAAGCAATTTGTACTAGCCGTTATCTCGGGGCTCTCTACCGAGTAAATGAGATAAACAAACTATATCAAAATACCAATTCTCATAGCGTAAAAATCCCAAAATCATACCATACATTGCCCATTTCCCTTCAAAAGATGACCCTTCTCAATCAAACCCAATTATCCAAACATACAGCAAACAAGGAAAAAATGTCATTGTGATTAATCATTCAAAGCCCAACACTAACAACTCAAACTAAACCTAATATCGAGATTGACTGTTATCAAAATGGAGAAAATAACTTCCTGTTGTACAGTTTCTCTACACTGTGGATCTCAGAATCATGATCGAAACGATATTCTTCACCAAAAAATAAAAAATAAAAAATCAAACGAAGACTCATTTATTGCCACCAATCGTCATATTCATTCCATGAATTGACTTAAACGTTCAAAGGAAAAAAAAAAAGCAAAATCAAATATAGAGCTTGCAGCATAGTAATTCATCAGATTTAGCATAGAAAATGCATGATTTTCACAGGAAAGTGTAAAGGGAATTAAAGAAAATTCAATATTTGACAAAAAAAGAGAAGGAAAAATCTTACTTCTCCACACTTCTCTCTTGATTCCAATAGGGAAAAGCAGATGCGAAGAAAGTAAAGAATACTGCTACCGTAGAGAGATTTGCAAATAAGGGTTTCAGGGGAGAGATGTGAAAGAGAAGAGGTGAAAGGTTAGGGTTTCAGGTGAGAGATCAGGAGCATGTTTGAATATCGAAGGCTCGAAGCTGGAATTTCATTGGAGAGTTCTTGGTATAGAGGCTGGAATCTTTGGTTCAGAAAAGGATAAGGCCTGGGCTTTATGGAAAACAAAATAAACTTCACCTCAAATCCTCATTTTGAAGGCACCGTAAGCAACAAACTTGTCCATGATGGCTCTAAAAATTACTGTCGACAATAAAATTCAACACTCGAAAAATGAGATCTTGCGCATACTTTTAGGGCGCAATGGACTATCAAGATATGTTGATACAATATACATCATTTTTAGAATTTCATTTTTTTTTTTTTTTGTTGTTGTGCCGTGATTTCCAAGCCGAGATGATTCATATAAAGGTTTTTTAAATTTTGAATTGTAATTTTCAATAAGGTATGAGGTCAAGTGTTACTTGTTTTGATAGAGTTGTAGCCCTATCAAACCATTTTTCTTAATAAATTCATATTTGGCAATTTATGAAAAGGAACAAATTTATATGAGGTTGCAACTTTATACTATTGAACTAATCATGCACTACAAAAATTAGGAGAGAATTCTATGATGTTGGAGAACCCTCCAATTGATTATTTCGACCTCAACATATGTAAATACGAAAAAAACAAAAAAAACAAAATTTAACATATAAAAATAGTGTATCTTGTAATTGGGTGAGGTTTGTATATATGGTTACCTCCCTATACTGTAGAAGTAACGTGCACATATAAAATTTACTTAGAGATGCTGTTTTGGTGTTGAAAATCTTATGATGGCTTCAAAATCTTTTTTTATCTTCAATTATAAAATTTAAAATTTAAAAAATGGTACAGATCCAGTAGATCAATAATCACTTGAAATTTTTGAAAATATAAAGTGTAGATAACAGGTTGCAAGATCCACTATTTTTCTACTTGAAATTCTTTTTTTTTTTTATATCCATTAATCTTAAGATCGAGATGATTAGTTTGAGGGTTCTCCTACGCCTAAATACTCTCCGCTATAAAAAAATTTATGTGCACATTACTTCAACAGTATAAAGTTGCAACCTTATATAAACTTTGTCCTTTGTAATAAGTTATCTCCATCATATATTTTCAATATTTCTAAATATTTATAGATCTCCTCATTTTGTATCATTTAAAAAACAAATTGAATTCATTATTTCAAGTCATCATAAAGTTCTCCACATCAAAACTACATCTCCTATCAAAATTTAAAGGCGTGCTTTACTTTTATGATACAAGGAACCTCACTCAAACCTCATCGTTTATCAAAAGGAATTGTATACTGTGAGATCATTTTTTTTTGGTACGAGGAGATCTCAATCATTTTTAGCTATTAGATATAAAATCCAATAGATTAAAATTTGTCATAACATTCAATAAAATTTATTTTTTATTTTGTGCCTAATCACTAACACATCCTCAATCACCGGATTTCAAACCCAACATTCAATAACTTCTTTATATAAAAAATAAATGGTCTCTTGTATACATTTCCATTTCGAACTATATATTTAACATTGTGCTTTTTTATGCAAATGCATGCAAGATGTTGCATTCGTTGGATGTGGAATCAGGTAGTCTCGGATGTGTATTCATCATAATGTCCAAACTAAAATTTCGTGAATATTTTGTGTGGTTTTTTTTTTAATTGTTTATAGTGGAGTTGGAGCATTTCAAAAGTTAGAATCATGCCCAACTTAATATATGTTTGAGGATAACGAGGTTAGAGTCGTGGTGGTAGCACTACTCGTGCCCCAGCTAAGATCTAGGTTTCTATTATCACCTAACGCATTAAAAAACTACTAACGATTTAAATAATGGATAGGGATTGTCATCTTCCCTAAATTACCTAAAAAAAAAAAAATGTCTTACCCTAACCCCTTCTAGTTCAACTCGAGTAAGTCTGACTAAGACTAAGTTATATTTAGCAAATAAATCAAACTGAAAAATTGGGAGACCAGGCTGTGCGATATTACTCGTGTTGTCAGTCATGCATGTAACACCATATCAAAGACATCATTTATGACCATGAAGTCTTTAGGGTATATACCCTCATGATCTTAGCCTACTACTCGTTTAGGTCAGCACGTGCACCAAATTTATTGAGAAAAACCAAAAGATATCATGCTCTTGAGGGATCATACTGTACATTTATTTATTCTAACACATCCTAATATAGAATTATTTTCAGGGCCTCAAATTTTAGGATATTAGCTCTTCAACGCATAAATGTTTTTTCCACACTGCATAATCCCTGGCATGAAAAAATAATAACCCAAGATTGAATAGATCAATTTTTTGAAAAGTGAGATCTAAGTGTCTAGAACTCAAAATTTAAAATATTTTATTTTGAATATAATCACCTAATGATGTTTAGGTGGTTCCTAAATTTTGGATTAAAAAATCCTCCCAATTTAGTCTTTTGCTGAAGGAGAAACTGTACAGTGTGCTCCCGTGAGAGATTGTAGTGGTGGTTTTAACGATCTAGAAGCATCTAGAAGAAGGCCAGGCTAATCTTGGCACAACCACCAAGGTTGAGAGTTGCTTTCTCCCAAACGAGGAGAGAGAAAGAGACAGGAGAGAGAAATTGAAGCCTCCTAGAGAGAGAGTGAGATATCCTGCTAGCTAGATTATGGAGAACCATGTTTTGCTAAAAAGATCGGCTAGAGAAGTTAAGCTGTAAAATCGGAACGGTTAATTAGACATGCCTAAGAAGTGGTTTAACGGATTTAATCGGTAAATCGACCAAATCAACCGTTTTAATCGGATAAGTCCCGAACGGTCAAAAAATTATTAAAAAAATGAAATGATGCACAAAATAAACTACTAAAATATGAAAAACTTTTAAATAATAACTAAAATAAAATGCATTCAAATGAAGTTTAAAAGTAATAAAAAATATGGATTTTAAAAATGAGTATTAATGATAAAATTAAATTTTAATATTTATTATAATGTACAACATATTCAAAAATATATTATAAATCAAATTTCTTATTTTTAAGATTTTATATATATTTTTTTGATTTTTTTTTTTTTAAATACCGGCCGATCACCAAAATTGAAACTGACAAGATATCGGTTCCAATCTAACCAGGCCCCATTTCTATAACAATGCTCTAGAATCCGTATTCTAAAGAGAGATGGGAGATATATAGGATACGTATAGTGGATTATAGAGAGAGAGGAAAGAGAAATTAGGTCTCCTGGAGAGAGACCATGCTGACTAAAGATGAATATCTATGTTTTTGGTGGAGATCAAGATAACTAAAAAATAAAATTGCTGACAAGGTATCCATTCATACATACATACACATAATTTTAGACAGAGAATCTCACTCTCTTACAATAGGGTGTCGATCTTATATGGACCCGGATTCTATGTGGCCAAGCTTTCATACGTAGAAATGCGGGTATCTAAATAAATATATTTTTGAAATGGATTTTAAGATTTTTTTTTTAAAAACATGTAATATCTAACATGGAGATCATGAATATAAAATAAACAAATAAAGTTTAAAAAGTAAAAATAATAAATTTAATAAGGAAACATTTGGATCATTAATTTTGATTGTTTTTAGATGGAATACCTATTTGCATCTTTTTTTAAGATGGATGTTTTACACCTTCTAGATTGCATATGTAAAAGTGCGGTCCAGGCCACATGAAACAATTTTCTATTTTATATTGTAAACGTTAGTTGCGCCTCAAAAAACAAGTTAGAATAGGTTGTTTAAATTATGGAAATCCTCCATTCAAGTCTCGACCGCATGTATACAAATAGGAAAGAAAAAATAGATTTCAAAGTCTTAAACACAGTTTATCTTCTAACACATTATCTAGACAATATATTTTTAAGTACTTATGGATGTGCTTGATCTGCATCAATTTCGGAGCTTGATATTTTATAATTAAGGGTGGCAATAGATTTTTAGGTTAGTGAAAAGTTTTTGCCACCAGAACTATATATTTCAGCACTAGAACTATATATGTTAGCAAAATGCACTAAGGTTTAAAAAAACGAATTGGTGATCCAGATAGGCCACCTAAAAAACTATGTCCAAATAGTATTTGGGTCCAAATTTTATACCCCTAGCCACATCCAGATCATGTACGAACAGGTATCAGGTGGGATCCTGATTCATTGCCACCCCTTTTAAGAGAGAAAAAGTTTATATATGGATGCAACCTTATAATGTAGAGTTACGGATGCACTTCAAAACTCCATCGAAAAAGGTAGTTTTAATATTGAAAAACCTTTGATGTATGACCATGAAAAATAAAAAGATTTTAAGTTTAAAAAATAGTACATTTTACAACATATTATCTATACCGTCTATTTTTAAAAATTTTATATATTTATAGATCTATTTGATTTTAACTATTTTTAAATTTTAAAAATTTATAATTAAATATAAAAATAAAATTTGAGACGATGTTAAGAACATTTTACATAAAGCACCTCACCTTTAAAGCTATACTACCTGGACCCTTTTAAGAGACGACCCTTTTAACGTGCCACGTGTACTTTAAACCGCCAGAGGTTCACTTCCCACTGCATTGGGACCCACCACGTCTCAGATTAGTAAATCCGTCCCAGCAGCCACGTCATCAACACCATTATAAAATGTGACGCCCTCTATAACGTTGGCTTTAAAATTCTAGAGAGAAAAAGCACGCGCCCTCTTTTTTCTCTCACTAAGTTTCTTTAGAGAGAGAGAGCGTTCCCTCCCTTTCAGAGAGCGTTATTTTAAGCCGTGGGATTCCATCCTAAGAGTGTGAGATCTTGATTTCTAGAGAGAGAAAGAACATTGCATCCGTAGATAGCTCTAGTTTTTAGAGAGAGAGAGAGGGGTGCTCTTCTTTTTCACGTATTTAGAGAGAGAAAGCCCTGTTTTTAAGCCGTGGTTTGACGATGACCGGGACTTCGCCCGCGGTTTCACCATTGGACTCAGTGGCGTTTCGCAGAATAAGTGCGGTTTCGAGGCATTTAGGGCATCGTTCTGAGATGGACTCACAAGACCAGTCACTTTCTCTCTCTAAAACCGCAGGCCATGGCTTCTCTGTGTTCGAGAGCATTAACCAGGCTCCTGAGGATCCGATTTTGGGGGTATCTATCATTTCTCTCTCTAGAATTCTCATTCTGTATAATGTTTTTGGACTTTCTTTGGTATCTATCACTTCTCTCTCTAGAAATCCCATTCTGTATCATTTTTTTTTTGGACTTTCTTTGGTTGAGTATGGCGCAAGTTGGGGGTTTGGACTTGGCGCTCTTTCTCTCTCTTGGATTTCGTTTCGTGTATGCATTTTTTCATATTTCCATGCGTTTTTTCATTTGTGTTTTATCATATTTATATGCAATGTTTTCATTTGCGTGCTCTCTCTCTCTCTCTCTATGATTTGTTATACTTTTTCATTTTTTCAACCTTCTATACATTTTCATTATTTTCTCTCTCTAGATTCCTCTTTTAGGCATTTGTTTAGCTGTCACTTCCTCTGCATCTCTTTTCCATTGCCATCTGATAGGGTAAGTTGGAAGTCTGTTATCTCTTTCTTCTCTTCTCTCTCCTATTCTCTCTCCTCTCTCTCTCTCGCTTCTCTCTTCTATTCCGTCCCTGTTTTCAACGCGTGCTGACAAATCAAGCTGGGAATTTATATGCAATGATATGTATATTTTCTTTCTCTAAAGTTCACGACTCTATAACTTCATATCCTTCATTTACTTTTTCAACTAGTTCCGGTAAAGAAACCTTCAAACTCCGGGGCATTAAGTCTCTCTCAAATAACTTTTCTGTTTTTGTTTTCAACTGTTTATATCTTGCACCAGTTCAACTGTTTCTAAAAATGTAATCTGGTCGATTTAGATGAATTTTGCTTGATTTATTCCCTGCAACTAAAATCAATGATAAGTTGCTAAAATGAATAAAGAGCGTTTAGGGCCGAGTCTTGAAATTCACAGCAGTTGATAACCCATAAATGTGAGATTGGGATATGGGTCTTTTACTATCAGTAGACATGAATGAAACCAGGAGATTGACATGAAAAAATATGAACTCTGGTTCTCAACTCCACAAAAAAAAAAAGAAAAAGAAGTAAAAAATAAGAAATCTAATACTGTCTAATAGTATCGATAGAATAAGATCAATTGATTTCGGTGTCCAAATATATGGCTGTATGTATTAACTATAGAAAGCATGTGAGCTTTCAATGGAATAAGTGTTCACTTGGAGAATCAGGAAATGTACACCAAGTTTTGACATTTTAAGGTCAAACAGGAACTGTTTCTTAACCGTAAGAAAAACAAGAACTATTTATTACATGCTGTTACTCAAATAATGGTGCACAAAGAACTCTAAGATAATTTTGGAACAGTTTATTTATGAAAAAGAGAAAAAGGTCCATAGAAGACTGGTTTCATTTTTGGCCAAAAGACCCAGTTCAATACAAAAATTGCTGTCTTGATTTCCTTTGCTATGTATTCAATGACACAGGGCTGAATATATGGATGAGGGATTCTAAATTGAATGGTTTTGAGGATATCGATATTGCTTCATTTCCATTCCTCAAACCATGTTTTCTGAACCAACAATCTTTTATAGTCATGATTAAATGATTGGTATCTCGAACAAACACGATTGTCATTTCTGTGCAGGTAACAGTTGCATATAACAAGGATCCAAGCCCAGTGAAGTTGAATTTGGGTGTCGGTGCATACAGAACTGAGGTCTGGTTTCTAAGATCTTGTGTTGGTGAACAGTATTTATAATGAAAATCCACTGCCATTATTTTCCATTTTTCCTTTATTTTGCTTGTTCTTCTAATTCTCAAACCCTTCTCTTTCTACGTGGATATTTAATTTATTTCTAATCAATGTTTTTTTTTTTTTTTCGAGTCTCTAACCTCTCAGTCATGTACCAGGAAGGAAAACCTCTTGTTTTGAATGTAGTGAAACAAGCAGAACAGCTTTTAATCAATGATGGGTAAGCAATGGAGTTAATTACTATTTAGATTTGGATGGTATGCTTAGTTTGGTATGAGGAGCAAGAGAGCTCAAATGTCTGGCCTTGCATTTATAGGTCTCGTGTCAAGGAGTATCTGCCTATAACTGGACTGGCAGATTTCAACAAGTTGAGTGCCACGCTCATTTTAGGTGCTGACAGGTATATATCATTCTTTTACTTCTGAATTTTGAACAGATTTGCATGCTTATTTTATGTACAATGGATATTTTGGCATTACATTTCAGTTGATGACACCTGACTGGACAGTTTAGGTATTTTTAATACCCTATAGAGAATTATTTTATTTTTCTTTGATCTTTCTCTTTAATTTAGTGAAGAATGTTTTTTCTTTTCCCAACCAAAACAAACTGGATCATTTGGTGTTAAAATATTGGACAGTTTTTCATTTTATTATTGCATGAAATTGGAAGAATTGATAATGCTTTTTTTTTTTTTGTTCTTATTTTAACCTTTTTTATTTGATTACTATTTTGGTAACTGTTCAGCTATTTCCGAGAAAAGAGTGGCTACTATATAGTGCCAGAGCACGCCCGATAATTTGGTGCTAAAATATTGGATTGAGTTCTTCATTTTATCATTTTATGAAATTGGAATAACTGTATCGACAAAGATTGGTGTGCTTACTGTTTTGCTTATTGTTTTAACTTTTTTGATTTGGTTATTTTGGATACAGCCCCGCTATTCTTGAGAAAAGAGTGGCTACGGTACAGGGCTTGTCTGGTACAGGATCATTAAGGGTTGGAGCTGAGTTTCTAACACGACACTACTACAACGTAATAAATTGTTTTCCCATCTAATATCCTATGGTACTTAAGGAAGTAATTTTTTTTTTTAAATTTTCTTACACAAGCGAGTGTGATTCTCAATTTCTTTCTTTCTGTTTTTTCCAGCGTACAATTTACATTCCACTGCCAACATGGGGAAACCATCCCAAAGTCTTCACTATAGCTGGGCTCTCTGTGAAGACTTATCGCTATTACGATCCAGCCACTCGTGGACTAGACTTCCAAGGTTGAGTGCCCTCTTCTATGCTTGGCTTGCTAGTTTGTATTTAAATAGTTAGTGTGACAATAATTTTGAGAAATTTTGCCTTTTGCATGCTAGGTTGATGGCTTAGCTTTTGTTAAAATAACCAACAGTCGATGGCTTAGCTTTTGTTCAAGTAACCAATATCTTGCCAATAAGATGGCTGTTAACTTTTTCACATGGTTTTAAGAAGAAATTATAAAGGTTAGTGTTATTGATGAGATTATTTCGAAGATCAATTAAGAAATATATGGGCTGACAACGCCATATCTCTCCGGCATGTGTGGAGAAATTCAAATGAGCTAGCTGACTAGTTGGCTTGAGAAGGGTAAACAAAACCCCTGTTTTATAATCGCAAGGAATGCCATTTTACTCACCCCATGCGATTATGTCAGCAATTTTATCATTACCTCAAGTGTACTTTTTTTGATATCTCAAGTTCTGTAACTGTGCATCTTCTTTTCTGTTAATGAAATACATAAACAGTTAATATTCTTAAAGAAAGAAAAAAGATATTGAGCAGAAGAATCTCTGGTTTTGAAAAAATTGGTACTCAGTGAGAATTGTGTTTTTTTTTTTTCCCTCCTTGTTTTCTTATTTAGTGTTTTCATTAACCATAAAGGATCAGTTGCCAATTTCAAATAGAATTTCCGACATATAGCATAAACACAGCTTCATGCATGTGTTTGTACACACACATACATAACTTGCATCCTATTTCTTGTATTTCATTATCATTACTGATCCGATCTTTACATGTATAGGCTTGTTAGAAGACCTTGGTTTGGCTCCATCTGGAGCTGTGGTGCTTCTCCATGCATGTGCGCATAATCCAACTGGTGTTGATCCGACTCCTGAGCAATGGGAGCAAATTAGACAGTTGATTAGATCAAAGGGATTCCTACCCTTCTTTGACAGTGCTTATCAGGTATACGCTGATGCTCCAATTATTTTGCAGTCCTAATTTTAATGTTAGTTTAATAATCAAGTGGATAATGGATGAGTTAGATATCCCTTTTTGGCAAACACAATTTATTGGAAATAGTTACCATGAAGAACTTGAAGGGTTTTCTGCCTTTGTTAATGTGATATAGGTTTTTTTATCTCGTCTACTGGTGATTTGTTTTTCACATTTAATTTATGATTTAATTCTTGCTGAAACTTTGCTGCTTCTAATAATTTTCACATTGTTTCAGGGATTTGCAAGTGGTAGCCTTGACACCGATGCACAATCTGTTCGCATGTTTGTTGCAGATGGTGGTGAATTGTTTGCTGCTCAAAGTTATGCAAAGAACATGGGACTTTATGGAGAACGAGTTGGAGCTCTTAGCGTAGTAAGTATCCTTTCCTGAGAAACATGTTCCTCAGAAACGTGTCTACTATGTACTTACCCCAAAAAAAACATGTCTACTATGTGCAAGTAGAGGCTTTCATTTGCTTCATTTCTGATGATGTAAATTTCTATTCTCAATTCATAATTTTCTTGTATTTTCTGTAGCTAATCATCTTTCCCTTCTTGAAAAGCCTTGAGCATGCGGACCGTCTAATGAAAATAATGAAATTATCAAACAAAAAGGACCACCCTATTTATGTTAGTCTGATCATTTGGAATAAGTTGACTTCCATTTCTCTGTGATATCTAGAATTCAAAAACTCTCATGGTTCACACTGAAGATTTTATCATGCATTTCTCATAGTTTGTTATTTTGTTCTTAAAGTTAACTTTACTCAAAAAAAAAATCTGCCAATCTTACTTTATGACTAAAATCTTTGTTGCAGGTCTGCAAGTCAGCTGCTGTGGCTGGTAGGGTTGAGAGTCAGCTGAAGCTTGTGATCAGGCCCATGTATTCGAACCCACCTCTTCATGGAGCTTCCATTGTGGCTAAAATTCTCGGAGACAGGTATGATCGTTATCTCATACCCTTCTGATTGCACTCAAGAAACTAATGTTCAATTTAAACTAATGTTCAATCTGCAGGAACTTGTTTAATGAGTGGACTGTCGAATTGAAGGCCATGGCTGACCGGATCATAAGCATGCGCAAGCAGCTTTATGATGCTTTATGCTCTAGAGGTACTACTCCACAACACAGGTTGTTTCAGGACACTCTTGATGCGCTTATCTCTCTCTCCCCCTCAGATATCTTTTCCCTTTTTATTCTCTTCTGTTGAATAAATGTGGAAGCAAACCTGATACCTAGTGGGCTTAACTTGTCTTATAATTGAAAAGCACTTCTTAACAGTTGTCTACCACTTGAATCCCAATGCTTATCTTGTTAATTTGTTACACAACAAGAACAGATATCCTACCCAATTGCCGAAGCTGTATACAAGCACACAGCTGGACTTGATGTCATGTCGATACTCGCAAAAACATCTAGGATGAAGATTTGAAATTTGAGGTTTATATAGATTAAATGGCACTCATTTCGAGGATATGGGTGCTGACCATGGACTAAAATGGCAATAATTTGAATTGACAGGTACACCGGGTGACTGGAGTCACATTATCAAGCAGATTGGAATGTTCACATTCACCGGGTTAAATACAGAGCAGGTGGCTTTCATGACCAAAGAGTACCACATCTACATGACATCCGATGGGTAAGGAGCCCCAACTTAAGACCTTACATGTGTTTTTTCTGGGTTCTAAATTCAGAATAAGAGACTTCAATGGAGAAAACATGTTCTAGGTTTAAAACTAGATCAAGCAAGGGCATTTATGTCTTTTGGTTTGGGCCTTTAAGGTAATTCCAAATTACCAAAATAACCCTGTTAGCAGGATTTCTATTGCAGAATGGGGGCTTTGTCTAATGAAGTAGCTGAGGAGGTACCTGATTGAAATGACATTTCGATAGCAGTTTTAAAAACCTGACTTAGCCAAGGGACACGCCCAAGTACTACACAATGTCAAAAAAAAGGGCGGCGAAAAAAAAAGGGGAAAGTTGACAAAAAAAAAGCATAGAAGAGGCTGTAGAAATCAGTAGAGGTTTAAAACCATGAAAAAAAACTCTATAAAAGATGTATTATTGAAAAAAATGATTTGGATGGTTTCAATTAAGAAACAATCAACTTCCAATCACCTTGAGAACTATTAAAATTATCATTAAAAACTAATCGCAAGTAATATGGTGGTGGCTTCCATATTTTTTACATTTTTGTATTTTCTTCCTTAACAAGGGTTGGGTTTCTGTGGAACTTGCCCTACTCGGCCTTACCCATAGGGTGAGTATGAGTAACTCGCCCGAGTCTGAGTCAACTCGGGTAAGTCATAGAACGCTGTTTAATAGTAACCACTTTGTTGACAAATTGGTTGATTTGACAACATGAGTGATCTTTTTGAACTAATTTGATCATCATATGGATCTCTGATCTTGTAAACAATCCTGCTGAAAAAGCCGATTATGACTGTCTTGGCTTTTATTGTCGCTTTTTCTTTTTTGTCACTCGTGACGCATATCCTTTTTGTCCCTCTAATTCTTTTGTAGGAGGATTAGCATGGCTGGTTTGAGCTCTCGAACAGTTCCCCATCTTGCCGACGCGATTCACGCTGCTGTAACACGTTTTGCTTGAATCAATTCTCTCTGGTTTGAACCATTTAAGTTTTTAATAACTAACTTCTGAGTACATGAAGTTATGAGAGCGCATTTATCTTATTCTCTGTGGCTTCATATAATATGCATTCCATGCTTGAGTGCTTTCAATTGTAATAAATAAGTGACCCACATATTGAAGAATTTGAATGCATAAAGGGTGAAATGGATAACATTTGTTTGTTGCTTAAAGAAAGAAAATAATAAAACAATCATTGTACCCACTTCTAATGAATTGTTATCATTGTATTTATTGGGTGAGCATGGTTTTTATTTTGAGGGCTAATTTTACCAATTACACTATAAGGATTTTAGGGTTTTAGACTCGAGCCTCTTGAAAAAGATGGATACATTCTATGTTTTTGCTGGAGAAAATAAGATCATAGAGAACATCAAATTTTGATATTTAAATCTGTCTTTAGAAACTCAAAAAATCGCATTTGAAAGCCAAAAAATATTATACTCCTTGATTATATTGTACATTTACTCCCTCGGTAAAACCTTACCTAGATTAGTTTTAAGACTCCAAATTTTTGAGTTGTAACCTTTTGACACTGATATTAACCTCAATAAAAAAAATGTCCGAATTGCATCCTTTGAGCACTAGAAATTTTTAAATTGGTGAGATCTTAGGACGTTTGGTAAGTGAAAAAACAAGAGGGAATGATCTGTTTTCTCGAGTACCACATTTTTTGTCTATTTGAGAATGAGGAAATGCATCAAAATGCAGAACCCCGCATTTCTAAGGTTTTCTGCATGTGGGAAAACTGCATCGTACCCTGATACCGATTTCCCAAGAAAAGGGGAAATGCATGACCTCCTTCATCCTTTTTTTTTTTAAATCTATCTAACCTCACGATCTTTCTCCCCTCTCGATCTCTCTTTGCCTAACCTCCATCCCCAGTTTTCTCCGGTTTTCACAGGTAGATTGTTACCAAACGATCTTTTTAAGCTTGAGGCCAGAGTTTTCTACTTCTGACTTTTTCTCATGCTTCCAACTTCTCATAGATTCTCTAGGAAACAACTTTTTCAATTGCCAACCATACTCTAAATCAAAATTATCCATAAAAGATAAGCCAATTCTCCACATACAAAGAATTTGACAATAGTTATAGTCCATGGCTCCGTTGTGGTCATCGAAAGTATTGCTTTCATTTTTTTCTCCCATTTCAAAAAACCAGAGCTGAAACTTTTGCCAAACAAACGCACTAAAATAAGAAGGGTGCAATTGGTATAAGATGTCAACCTTCTATTGTAGAAATAAGGTGCACCTAAAAAATATACCTTTAAAGATTATAATGGTGCCGAAAACCTTTATGATGGGAAAAAATTTTATTTTTACCCTTTAATTATGGGATTTAGAATTCCAAAAATGCTGTAGAGCATGTAGATCTTGCAAGCACTTGAAAATCTTGAAAATGTGATGTGTTGTCTAGATAATGTGCTACAAGTGCTCTATTTTTAGGACATGAAATTTATTTTTTCTTTGATATCCGTATATATTGAGGTTAAGGTGATCAATTATAGGGTTTTCAAACAACATAACAAAGTTTTCAAGTGGATATTTAACGTGCCCATTACTTATACAACATAAGGTTGACACCTTAAATAAACTCTTTTCAAATAAGAGAGACCACAAATTCATTTAGGGTGCAGTTTCTATAATGCTAAGGCCCTTACCATTCAAATGTAAGGCGCACCTTCAAATAGTATAGAAACATGTTGTTTTAGCATAAAAAATCTCTATGATGGCCTGAAAATTTGTTTTCATTAAAGATTAAAAAATATTGTCGATCGAGCATATCTACAAACATTTTGAAAAATCTTGAAAATTAACGGTCTAGATAATATATTTCAAAATGCATTATTTTGAAAACTTGAAATCTATTTTTTCTTCATGTTCATATATCTTGAAGTCAGGATAGGGGTGGCAATGGACCCGACCAGACCTGCGACTTGATCGGCGACTTTGGGTCCGGATATAGGTCCAATTTTTGGACTTTACGGTTCAGGCTCAGGTCCAGTCGGACTCGATCTGTACCCATAAACAGTTGGAGATAAAATATCTTAATTTAAATATTATTCGTTTGGGTGTATTAAGGATCATATACAATAAGAACTTGTAGTCATCTTTAGTTATGAAATAACAAATCAAACGGCTTGAAATCTAACGGCAGGAGATTGAGACCTTGTTGCAAATGATATAGACATGTGATGGTAAAAAGTTGCCAATGATATGGATATGTGACGGTAAAAAAAAACAAAAAAAACCTCTTAATTATAGGGTGGCAATGGACCCAACCAGACCCGAGCCTGTTAGGGTAAACTCGAGACCCAATGGGTAAAGGTATGGGTCCAATTTTTGGACAGGTGGAGTCCGGGTCCAAAACCTGGACTTGAATGCTATTTGGTTCCAGGTCGACCTAACCGGTTGCCGGTTTTTTTAGCATCGAAACAAGGGTGAATTTTTCGGGTCCACCATAATTTGATTGTTAAGGCCTCACGCTTTTTCTATACATAAAAATCATCCTCCCATATAGCATGTGCCACGTGGTAATCTGATTTCCTTAGATATAAAAACTTCATGGAGATCTTTCAGGTCTAGAGAGACCTAGCTTGGGCACCCACATGTTAGTAAACCAGCAAGCGTTTCTCAGTCTCAAAAGATGTGTGGGCTTACCAGAAACTTAGGTGCCCCAATTAGATCTTTTGACATAAACGCAGGACACAGATGACAGGAGGAGGAGAGGATAATGGTATCTCAGAAAGCCACGTGGAATCAATCGATTGGTTATTTGGTACATTATCTGCCACGTGGATAACTTTGGATCGTACAATCAGCTCAGGACTAAACTGTGGAGAAAATCGAAAGGGAAGAAAGAATAAAGAAAGGTGAGCAGAGAGAAAGAAAGCATATTATTTTTTGTGACGATGGCTTCTCTATCTACAGTCGCCGGAAAACCGGCCGGAGTTCAGGGACTCGCCGGAAGTTCAATTCACGGCACCAAACTTGCCGTCAAGCCGGCCCGCGTTAGCCTGCCGGTCTCCGGTCGAAGGTCTATCTCTCTCTTTATGGGCCAAAAAAAATTGGTTTTCAATTACTTCTCATTTCTATATCTGAAAATAGCTAAGTGCCTTAGGTCAATTGGCTTCTCTCTTTAATGAGCTCTCTCTCTCTCTAGACTAGAGATACCCAATTGAGGAATTATAATACTTTTCATTCATGTGACCTTTAACTTTCCATTATTGTGATCTTTTTGCCATGCTTTAAACGATTTTCTCACATAAGTTTTGGTTTCTTCCATGTCATTTTTGGTTTTCAAGTGGAAGGACATGATTTTATGATTGGGTGCGGTTTGTATAGAGCCTCTAAACAATCAAATTAGAGCCTACCTTCACATACTATCGACGATTGTGGTTTCAATACTAAAAATCTTTGTGATAGTGTAATAATATTTTTTTATTTTTATTTATAAACTTTAAAGCTTAAAAAATAGTGTACGTCGACAGATCTATGAAAACTTGAAAAATCTTGAAAATTGACGGTCCAAAAATGCATTACAAAATACACTATTTTCTAAACTTGAATTCCATTTTTTTTCTCATATCCATGCATCTTGATGTCGAAATGCTCAATTTGAGGTTATTTGGACATTAAAACAGCCTCTTCTAGTGAAATTTTTGAAGTAGGCTCTAATTTGATTGTTTAGAGCCTCGACTCTATATAACCTTCTCCCTTTATGATTTTATCTCTAAAAATCATAAAGAAAATCATTTGATTTTGTTATATTTTTTTTTCCTCTATAATTTTTGCTGGGTTTTGATTGTTCTGTCACAAAGTTGCTAAATTTTGAAATTACCCATATTATTTTTAGTTTTTAATTGGAAGCATCATTTACTTAAATTTTTGGTTTTTATTTGGAAGTGGCATTTAATGAAGAAAAATTACTATCTAATTCAATAGCCTTATATTGTGTCAAAAGGGCATCTCTGAGTATCCAAATGGGCCCTAAGCCACTCCAAAAAGTTAAATCTAAAAGAAAAGAAAAAAGAATATAATAAAAAGAGATCGTATATAATGACACAATAGACCTTTGATACAAAGAAGTCACAATTACTTATACCCATCTTACATGAAGTCTCGTATATAATGACACAATATACCTTTGATACAAAGAAGTCACAATTACTTATACCCATCTTACATGAAGTCTCGTAGCTTGAGTGCGACACAAATTTCAAAAAAAGTTTTTTTGAAGTTTGAGCTTGGCTAATAGAATAAATCATGCATCTCATGTCACATCTCATGGTGAAGATTAAATGTAACCTTGTATCAAAGATAAATATTCTCGTTTATATTGTTTTTAATAAAAAATAGATTTTACATAAAAAAAAAAGGAAAAATAAGTCGGTTGTTTTCAAAGAATACCATTCATTTAATGGATAGTGGATGTAAGCCTTCAACAACTCAAAATCAATTGCTTTAAAAATGAGATTATATGAGATTATTTATTTTTTCTATAAGAAGTTCACAGTCACTTTTGTCTATTGGATGTGCAATTCTAATTGATGAAGGAGTGTAAACCCATGTTATGCAAATAGATGACCCAAACGAGGGATTTGCATAACCTGGGTATTTTCTAGAAGCTATCCAAACAAATCATGTCTAAATACTCGTGTTTTGGCATAATCAGAGCTTGCATAATCATGTTATGATCTAAAACATGGTTTTATTTACCCTAAGATCCAAACGAGGCCTAAGATCTCTCTCAACTCTAAAGATCGCTATGGGAAAGGTTTCTGTACTTCCTCTATTGCATAGAAGATCTATGCTTCTCCTACCATCTAGCCGTCCAATTTTGATCAAGAGAGCCACTCACTGTTTGATCTTAGATCCGACGTCTCAAAGTATTTTATTTTTAGTTTTTTTTTATATAAATTGTATGAATATGAAATTTGGTACGTGCCATCTTCTTATTAGGGCAAACCTATAAAAAATATTAAAAATAAATTTTCGATAAAATATAATGATCAAAATACCCTTTGAAACTTTCAGGGATATTTTGGTCATTTTATTTTATTGAATTTTTTTTTTTTTTTTGCTAGTAAGAGTTTAATAGAGGATTGGATGTCCAAAATTTGGTGTCAAAATAATTTATGGAAAAAAATTAAAAATAAAATAATGTAGAGACGTGACATTGTGATTGATGCAATCTTAACCCTCCAGTCAAAATGGAGGGTTGGATAAGGGAAAGTATATAAGTTTTATGCTGTAGAGGAAATATAGAAAGCTTGCCCATTAGCTGCTCTCTCTCAAGTGTAGAGATACCCAATTGAAGAATGATAATATTTTTCATTCTTGTGATCTTTTTGCAATGTCTTAAACAATTTTCTCATATAAGTTAGCAGAAGTTTGATTTCTTCCATATCATTTTTGGTTTTCAAGAGGAAGGCCATGATTTTATCTCTAACCTACTAACATTCACCAAAAAAAAAGAAACAATCATGTGATTTTTTTTTTTTGCTTGATAATTTTTGCTGGGTTTTATTTCTTGTCACAAAGTTCCTAAATTATGAAATTATCCATATTATTTTTGGCTTTTAATTGGAAGTATCATTTACTTAAATTTTTTTTTTATGTGGAAGTGGCATGTATTAAAAGAAAATTATTATCTAAGTCAATAGCCTTATATTGTGTGGCAAGAATGCATATCTGTGCATCCAAATGTGCCCTAAGCCACTTCGAAAAGTCAAGGCTGATTTGACCCTAGATTCTATAGACGTAGATATTAAGCAATCAAAAATTATATAAGGTTCCAAACTTATAATGTAGAGCTACAGATGCACCTCAAAAATCCTCAAAAAAAGATAGTTTTAATGTTGAAAAACCTTTTTTTTTATTGATCATCTCAAGATATATGACCATGAAAAATAAAAAGATTTTAAGTCTCAGAAATAGTGCATTTTACAATATATTATCTACACTGTCCATTTTCAAGATTTTTATGTATTTATAGATCTACTTGATTTTAACTATTTTTGAAATTTAAAATTTTATAATTAGATATAAAAATAGATTTTGAGATAATCCTAAGAACATTTTATATCAAAATTGTATACCATGATAAAATTTGAAGGTGCACCTTACCTCTACAGCTACGGATGCATCAGTATGCCAACTGCACCTTTAAAAAAAAAACCCATACCTAGTTACCACATTGTGGTTCTCAATCCTGCTGCCACTATCCAATGACACCTTAAAAAAAACGCTAACTCCCTTATCTATCTGGAAAAATGGGTAGGGCCTTGTCTTTCCCATTGAATTACCCAAAAAGAAAAAAGAAAAAAAAAGGAAGAATCTAATAAAAAATGGATTTCACATAAAAAGAAGGGGAAAAATATATATGCATTTTCAACTAATGCCATCCGTTTGATGGGTGGTGGATATAAGCCTTTAACAACTCAAAATCAATTGTTTTAAATATAATTTTTTGAATCAAAGGTGCAAAATTTCAGCCCAAAAAAATCATCCTCCTTATGCATTTCGAATCAAAAAATATGTTCTCTGATTATATGTTTTGGAGTCCAGTTTGATTAATAAGTTTCTAATGTTGTTATAAGCCTATTGGCACATACAAGTTATTCCCTTCACAAAAACATCTTCCCCTTCTCTATGATTACAGGTCTTGCATAACAGTGGCCAAATATGGTGAAAAGAGTGTCTACTTTGACCTAGAGGACCTTGGAAACACCACTGGAGCTTGGGATCTGTATGGATCTGATGCCCCTTCCCCATATAACTCCTTACAGGCATGTATATTTGAATAAGTCATTTATGATTTTTAGTATTTTCTTTCTCCATGGATGTATTATTTATTTTTTACATATCCTTGATTTATTCGATATGGTTGACCGTATATTTTTCTTGGACAGTGTAGATTTGATATATCTTTTAAGATCGTGTCAAATTTACACCGTCTAAATAAAATAAATTTGTGGATTATTGTAACCTACTTCTACAAGTTTGCATCTTTATATTAACTTTTTCCTTGTTCATTTGGTTAATTAATTTGTTTTCTTGCTATGATATAATATGAAGAAAATAATTGGATGTCCATACAACATGTTATGGTCGTCTCGAATGATCATGAAAATACTTTATTTCATTTGAGTATGTTAAATAAATTTATTAGAATGCAATAAGACCATTTATTTTTTATTTAAAAAGATCACAATCACCTCAAGCCGTGAGAATTGAAATTGGGTTTTTCCACATACTTTGCCTATAGATATGATATGCTCCTTGATTTCACTTCTGAGACTTTTATGCACAAAAGGTACACATCTGAGTGTGTAAAATCCCAATTCTTCATTAACTATATGTACCCTCTCAATGTGTCATAAATCCTTTTTTGGTTTTTACAAACCATGATCAGAGTTTTGTCACTGCTTCCTCCACCATTTTAGTTATCAGGACTTCCTGCCACTTCACCATTGCTCTCTCTCTCTCTCTCTCTTTCTCTAATGTCACAGTGAGGATAGTGTTGCATTTACTCTCTCTCTCTCTCACACTGTTCCATGTCACATGAGGATAGAGTATTGCATTTGCTGCTCTCCTGATTTGTTCTCCTTCATTTTATTCTCAATTCCTCATATTCCCTTCATCATACCAAACCATCCCCCTCTCTTTTTTTGTGTGTATGTGTGTGCGCGTGCGACACAAGGCTTTATATCATATGAAGATAATTCAAGGGGACAATCTTGATTATATATGCATAAATTATCGATACGTTATAATTAATTTAATAAATTTATCTATTTCTACAATCTCTCTCTCCATTAAGCTAATACTTTGAATCTTGACAGAGCAAGTTCTTTGAGATCTTTGCAGCCCCATTTACAAAAAGAGGGTTACTTTTGAAATTTTTGATATTGGGAGGGGGGTCCGCATTGGCTTACCTCAGTGCCACTGCATCAGGGGATATCCTACCCATCAAGAAGGGCCCACAATTGCCGCCTCAGCGTGGACCACGTGGCAAGATATGATTGGACAACTGCTTGTATCATCAAAAGTTTATTATTAAGACCTTGTAAAGCCTCTGGATACTATGTATTTCATATTCTCTCTCTCTATACTATTCATTTGCATTATCTCTATTTCTTTCTAAGCTATTTATTAATCTTCTCTATATTGAACTAATGGTTTCCTACTTTGATAGCCTTAGAATTCCTGAATTCTTCATTGCCGCATATTCTTTGTTGGATTCTCTCTCTCTCTCTCATTATTCTTTTAGATTGCTTATTTCTGTGAGAAATTTTCGGTCCCCATTCATTCCCTCACTCTTTATTTTTGGGAAGTATTTTGTTGAGCCTTGGGTTCATAAAAAATATATCTAGTACTACAGAAATTGCAGTTCAAAGTATCGAAAATTTTGTAAAATAATTATCATGATCTCAATTTTCATGGTTGGTTGTGAAAAGAAAATTGGATTTCAATGTCCAAAATTGGTATATCATATAACATGTTTTGAGCCCTAAAATTAGATTTCAATCGTAGATTGCCCATTTGTTAATTGATTTGTGAGATCTGCACCACTTTTGAAGCTTCAAATTCTATAATCATAAGAGTCACAGGGTTTGTGGTGTTGAAACTTGCATTTTTTTGGTGGATTTTTGAGGTGTAATGTTACCAAATATCATAAAGTTGCAGCCCGACGAAAGCTCTACCTTTTTGTTTTATCTTTCTCAGTTTTTTTCTATATATATAAATTTGATAAACAAGAGATTTGGTAAAATTAATAAATAGCTAAGCAGAAGCAAGAAAGAAAGGCAATCATGCTCTATTGCGAATTTCTCCCTTTGAGCATGATACAAAATATTGTAATAGCTTCAGATACAAATAACACAAGTGCCCAAGTACAGAAATTTTAAAACAATAGAATGAAGGGAATAGTATCAGAAGGGCAGTCATCTTCAAATTAGTAAAAAAAAAAAAAAAAAATTGTAGGGATATAGATCATGCATTAAGAGTGGAGATGTCAACAAAAAGTTGAGAGTTTACTTTAAAAATTTATTATATAATAAATAAAATAGGAATACAACGGTAAGGAACTCGTAGGTAAATGAGGGCGGAAGTCTTAGATACATTCATAGGATTAAGATATCGGAAGTGAAAGACGTTTTGAAGATGATGAAGATAAGAAAGGTTTTAGGGTCCTGATAGAGGTTTGAAAGTGTATGGGGGAGATCGACATTGACTGGTTGGCCGAATTATTCAACAAGGTATTGAGAAGAAAGACAATGTCAGACAAGTAGATGAAAATATTGTGGTACCTATTTACAAGAACAAATGAGACATACAGAATGTGCGAGCTACTGAGGGATCAAATATATGAATTATACTAAGAAGTTGTGGGAGTGATTAAGCAACAACTAAGGTATAAAATAAATATATCATAAAACCAATTCAGTTTATATTAGGAATGTCAATAATTGAGGTCATTTTTCTACTTAGACAACGGATTAAATAGTTTAGGACAACAGGAGAAGACCTCCACATGGTATTTTTTTATCTAGAGAAAGCTTATGATGTACTCCGAGATTTAATTTGGTAGGTATTGGAAAAGAAATGAGTATCTAAATACTATATCAATTTAATAAGAGTTATGTACAAGATAGCGCTAAATAATGTGCAGACAACTAGTGGAGAGACGAGTTAGTTTTTATTGACAGTAGGTTTACATCAGGGGTCAACGTTGAGTCTATAATTGTTTGTTTTTATTATGGATGACTTAACTCGTTACTTCCTACTATAATGTATGTTGTATGTTGATGACATAATTCTAATTTATGAGACCCAAAGCAGTGTTAACACAAAGCTAGAGCTTTTGAGGGATGCTCGATAATCTAAAGGTTTTAGAAGTAGGTAGACTAAAATATAGTATATGGAATGTTAGTTTAGTAATAATAGGAGTAGAGGCGAGGAAATAATTAAGATTTATGGCCAATAAACACAAAAAAAAATCGTATTTTAGATATCTTAGTTCGATAATCCAAAAAAATTGAAAAAAATATCACACAGAAAAATATCGAAGTGGAGATGTACAACTAGAGTTTTTTGTGATCGTTGCATACCAATAAAGTTGAAAGGGAAGTCCTATAGCACCGATGTGAGACTGGTTTTGCTTTGTAGGATGGAATACTGGGCGGTCAATAAACAACATATCTATAGGATGAATGTAGCTAAGATGGGGATGTTTAGATGAGTGAGTGGTAAAATAATGAGGGATAGAATTCAAAATGGACATATTTGAGAGAATCTAAGTGTGACTTCAATAAACGATAAGATGAAAAAAAATAGACTTAGGTGGGCTAGCCATGTACAGTGCAGATCCAGTATAATATATGTTAGGAGATGCAAGTTAGTTCAAGTAGAAGGTTCAAAAAAGGTAAAGATATGCCCAAAATGACATGGTTGGAAGTAGAGATAAAAGATTGAGGGACTTAAGGCTTTGCTAATGGTACGACTCTTGATAGAGCATAATGGCGGATCAGGATTCGTGTAGCGATCTCAAATAGTTGAGAAAAAACTCTGATGATGATCATATCAAAAGGCGGTCGAGAGATGAACTATCTAACATCTTACCATTAGATTATCCTTTGTATTTTACTTGATCTTTTACTTTTTTATTTCTATTTTTTTCTAAATTTCTAATATATTTTTCTACTCTTTTTTAGATTTCTATAAAACCATTCTATCATTTTATATTTATAGTTTTATATTCTAATTCTAATTTTTTTTTAAAATAATAATGAAATAGAATAGAATATCTAATCAAAATTCAACTTAAATATCTAAAATACTGGACTAGAAAATATTATTCTTATATTAGAAGAAATATTCTAATAATTAAATACTTTTATCTATTAAATAATTGAACAGTCTGACTCTAACACTAGAAATATAAAACAATAGGACTGTTCGATGTACCTAATACAAGACAGATGAGTAAGAGAAAAATAAAAATTTATGCATTTTCTCCTACACGGGGTTGAAAACATTGGAATGGTGGGGAATTTAAAAAAAATAAAAAAGGCCCCGGGTCGGGTGGTAATTTTTTTTAAAAAAATTCCCTATCAATAATAAAAGGGTTGAAAATATCATCTATCTATTTTCACAAAACATGCAATTTGAAAATTTTCATTTTTTGAGGTCGATCGCTATATTGAAGAAATCAAATGTGCAAAATTTGGGCGTAAAATGTATTCACATCTATCATCGAACTTATCGTTATTTCTCTCTCTAAAATTGTGGACTCACTTTCTCTCTCTAACGTGTATAGGGAACAAATAGATTAGTGCTCCCATAGGGTAATTAATTAGGTAATGTAGTTTTGTTACTTTTACAATTTTATTATAGGTTTATTAATTTTTTTTAAAAAAAATTTATAAGAGATATTATTAATTTCCTAAAATTAAATATTATAAGAGATAAAATCAAGTAATGCATCATTGTTACTATTTTTTCAATAATGAAGTTTTATGAAGAAATATTTAATTTTATACTTTAAAAGTTCTTAAAAAGTATTAAAAATTGAATATGAAAAACTATAAAAGGTATTAAAAATAAAAATTACTCCTAAATGTGTGTATATATATCATATGAACCTCATAGAAGAAAATTGAATATAAAAAAAAAAGCAACGATGCCAAG